TAAGGACACTGACTGCTATTCAATCTCTATATAGCAGTGAAAAAGATTATTTTTTAAATCAAGCTATTGTGACACCAGATCTAATTAGTGGCACTGGTCAGCGTATCCACTGTTAGCGTAACACACCCGCTTTAAGGACACTGACTGCTGTTCAATCTATAACAGTGAAAAAAGTGTTTTGTTTTTTTAAATCCAAGCTTTGTGTCACCAGATCTAATTGGTGGCACTGGTCACCGTATCCACTGTTTTTTTTTTGTTTTTTTTTGGTTTCAAAGCTGTTTATTAGTTGCAGCAATAAGATACAATGTACTGGGCACGCAGGTCCATACAAGATATGAGTTATCAACACATAACTGCGGCATTCAAACAAAATATAACGGACACGCAGGTCCTTGCGAAATTCCAGTGTTCAACAATTAAACAGTGTTATATTAGTAATCAGAAGCTTAGGGTAACTGTGAACTTCGAGCTGGTTTAGTCAATATGTTGCTAAGATTGCTATCATGAATTGGGATAATGATAGGTCGTGGACTGAGTTCGGCTTATTGGGGGTTTTTCATATCAACTGTCTGAGGCATTGGATTGTGCTTCGTGGGAGGTACAAGGGTGTTTAAAGGGCGTCCATGAGCATGTAATAGGTTATGCTCGGATATGCTGTCTTGTTAGTCGAGTGTGTCCTGTTGTGTCCAGCAGGGCTATTAGAGGTTATCTCCTTTTTAGCTAATTAGGTAATAAGTGCATGTCCGATTTCTTCGGGGCGGTTTAGTATTGAGGTCTGTTTGTCCGGGGAGATCATCTTATGTCAGTAGTGCGGCCGTCCCTATACCGTTCCCTAGGTAACCGTATCCACTGTTAGCGTAACACACCCGCTTTAAGGACACTGACTGCTATTCAATCTATAACAGTAAAAAAAGTTTTTTGTTTTTAAATCCAAGCTATTGTGACACCAGATCTAATTAGTGGCACTTGTCAGCGCATCCACTGTTAGCGTAACACACCCGCTTTAAGGACACTGACTGCTATTCAATCTATAACAGTGAAAAAAGATTATTTTTTTTTTAAATCCAAACTATTGTGACACCAGATTTAATTAGTGGTACTTGTCAGCGTATCCACTGTTAGCGTAACACACCCGCTTTAAGGACACTGACTGCTATTCAATCTATAACAGAAAAAAAAGTTTTTTGTTTTTAAATCCAAGCTATTGTGACACCAGATCTAATTAGTGGCACTTGTCAGCGTATCCACTGTTAGCGTAACACACCCGCTTTAAGGACACCGACTGCTATTCAATCTATAACAGTGAAAAAAAGTTTTTTGTTTTTTAAATCCAAACTATTGTGACACCAGATCTAATTAGTGGCACTTGTCAGCGTATCCACTGTTAGCGTAACACACCCGCTTTAAGGACACTGACTGCTATTCAATCTATAACAGTGAAAAAAAGTTTTTTGTTTTTTTAAACCAAACTATTGTGACACCAGATCTAATTAGTGGCACTTGTCAGCGTATCCACTGTTAGCGTAACACACCCGCTTTAAGGACACTGACTGCTATTCAATCTATAACAGTAAAAAAGTTTTTTGTTTTTAAATCCAAGCTATTGTGACACAGGATCTAATTAGTGGCACTTGTCAGCGTATCCACCGTTAGCGTAACACACCCGCTTTAAGGACACTGACTGCTATTCAATCTATAACAGTAAAAAAAAGTTTTTTGTTTTTAAATCCAAGCTATTGTGACACCAGATCTAATTAGTGGCACTTGTCAGCGTATCCACTGTTAGCGTAACACACCCGCTTAAGGACACTGACTGCTATTCAATCTATAACAGTAAAAAAAGTTTTTTGTTTTTAAATCCAAGCTATTGTGACACCAGATGTAATTGGTGGCACTGACTGGGGAATGGGCACAGTATGCACTGTGAGCCTGACACAGAAGCTGGCAGCAGTGGCAGACAACTGACTGCTATTCAATCTATAACAGTGAAAAAAGTTTTTTGTTTTTAAATCCAAGCTATTGTGACACCAGATGTAATTGGTGGCACTGACTGGGGAAATGGGCACTGTGAGCCTGACACAGAAGCTGGCAGCAGTGGCAGACAGCTAAGTGCATTTACATTACATAGAAAAAAAAAATCCAAAAAAAGCATACCCTTATCCCTAACCTAGCTATGCTTTTCCCTATCTTATGAACAGCAGCTACACTTTCCCTCCTCTTACTAAGCATGCAGCTTGAGAATGAATCTAAAATGGATGCTGTCCAGTAGGTGGGAGGGTCTGCTAGGGAGGCTGTGCTGCTAATTGGCTGGAATGTGTCTGCTGACTGTGAGGTACAGGGTCAAAGTTTACTCAATGATGACGAATAGGGGGCGGGTCGAACCGCGCATATGTTCGCCCGCCGTGGCGAACGCGAACATGCTATGTTCGCCAGGAACCGTTCGCCGGCGAACCGTTCGGTACATCACTAATTGCTACCAACAAAGCTGTTTTAAAGTCAATATCTTCAAAGAAACTTCTTGCAAAGGTTCAAAGGGCGACGCGCACATTGCCTTAAGCAATGCAGCTAAATCCCATGTGGGAAAGGCAGAAAGACGAGGAGGACGTTTAAGATAAACAGACTTGAAGAATCTATGAAGAAGTCTGTTTGATGACAAATCCTTTAACAAAAAATGACCGAGGGCCAACACTTGAAGTTTAAGTGATGATACACTAAGGCCTGAGTTGAAGCCTGATTGAAGAAAAGCCAGGGTACAAGGAATGGAAGACCAACCTTCAGAGTCCCTAGATAGGCACCACTGTAAAAACTTTTACCAGATTCTGAGGTAAATCTTCGTTGTAGAACTACCAGTGGAGGCAAGGCGGGTGTCACAGATCGCATCTGAAATACCCTGCTCTTGCAGCAGCCAAGCCATCACTCGAAACATCCTTCCAAGTTTACTGGGTGTTCCAATAAGGGAGAACCCAATGAGAGACTGCCAAGTGATTGATTTTGGAAAACTAGCTCCATTTTGGCCAGTAAGGGAGAATAGCTAAAACCTTTGCCTTGTCTGCCCGTATCTTTTGTACAATTCAAGCTATTAAAGCTACAGGAGGAAAGATGTAAGAGGAAACAACCCACTTGTACAGTACTGCCACTTACGACAGGAAAAAAAAATGCATATTCACATTATAATAGTACTAGGCTCAGTGCAGGAAGCCGGCATCCTGCAAACCCCAGGTTAGTGGTCAAACTAGTAGCAAACGGTTTGATCATTTACACAGGGGGCTGCTTCATCACTTCTGGCACCATAACCACTACAGCTCACTGTAGTGGTAATGGT